AGCGTTCATTTATGAGTGCGCTTAGGACTCACACTGACTTGAGTTTTGAGTTTCGTTTCATCTAGGCATTAATATTTCAGCAGGATTGAAAAACCTTGCCAGTAACCCTTTATGATCTGGAGGGGAAAGCTTTACTCAGAAAACCTGGGTATCAGTTGCACTGGTCAAAGATTGTCATTTATTCACATCCTAATGCTTATTTAAAGTGACGGTTAAAGCTATTCCTTAGAATAAACATTGACTGTACACTTCCACCTTCTCCACCGCAGTGTTACTGAATTAGTAATCTTTTACTTGTTCTTCTTTTTCTAGTGGAAGCCATTGATGATGAAGCACTAGAACTCCTTCAAGAAAAAGATTATGACAGACTCCTGCCCCTAGGCCTCCTGAGGAAGTTCCTAAAAGCGTTAAAGGTTCTTATCTTTATTAATTCTCAGCTACTCTTCATTTATTATAAATCTATTTTCTCCGGTTTTAAAGCAATTTACTAAAGACTTACCAGTATGGAAACAAAAACAAACAGCCAGAGATACGTAGTCATAATTGAAATGACTCCATTGTTTGAGGCTACAAAAGGTATAAGCCAGCAGCTGGTATGTTTTGGGTCAATTGGACCGCGTTAAGCAGAAAGGAACCAAGCCACATCAACTATTGCTAAATTTAAAAGGGCAATTTAATTTCTTACACGAAAACAAATGTGTAGATTTTTGTGCAAATCTCAGTGAATTTTCTGCATGGTACAAAGCAAGTTCTTTAAAATTTTCAAAGGTCTCTGCACAAATATTCTCTTGTAAAAAATGAAATTGCCCAGTTAAATTTGGCAATAGCTGATGTGGCTTGGTTCCTTTCTGCTAAACGCAGTCCAATTATACCTCCTTTTTACTGGGAAACTTGTCAGTCATTAATAAATCATTAGATATAATAAAACACATGAGGTATCATAATATTGAAATACTGATCATCCACTGTAAATAATCTGATGCACTTAAAACAAAGCTTGCATAGCTGCTGAGTGATCTTTACCTGTGCGCGGTTTGTTCCAAATGGTCCCAAACTCAGTTTTTTGCAACTGTAGCACCTACTTGCTTGTGAATTTTTTTTTTTTTTTCTTTTGCTATTTTTCGCCAAATCAATATTATTTTAGTTCACTGCTTGGCTTGTTCTGAAAATACTTTCCTTTTTTTATTTGGGTTTTCCTGCACGGTTGAAAGAAATTTCCTTGGGCTGGTTCGAATGGGTCATATACTGAGTGATTTTTGGTTTTATTTTGTTTTATGCATGCATTCTAAACTGTTCCTCTTTTCACTATTGATTTCCCTGCCCAGTCTAATTATTTTCACATTTTTCCTCTTCTTAGGATTCAAACATTGCCTCTTATGACAACAATTTTGATAGAACTTTTGACGAATGTTGGAATGAGAATTTAGAACAAGAGGATATGGAAATCTCAAATATGGAAGTAGTGCTAGAGGATAATGTAGACCAACTTTTTAGAAAGCCTTTAAATACAATCCCACAGCCAGCAAGTGAAAATCAACAAAGCTGCAGTCAGCCACCTCCCGCCAAAAAATTGGCAACCACTGCGAATCATCCCTCATCCGTCAAGCCACCAATCTTTTTAGTTAAAGACCTTGATCTAAAAAAAGTTCTTGAAGAGAGCGACGAGGGCCAAGCAATCCTGAGCCATTACGAAATGCAAGGCAAACTTGCACAGAAATTTTCCACGCTCCTCTGCCAAATTATAATGAGGCATTGTTTCAAGGGAATCCACATACTCAACTGTTTAAGGCACAATTTGAAGATATCACATCTTTAATTGTGAGTTTATTCCCTAACGAATCTGCAGACTTATATTATATTCCCCCTGAACACATCGGCGGAAAAAAATATTGTGCGACTGGAAGACTTATTGATAAATATAATGCTCGAAAACAAATGTTTCGAGAAACGGGGCTCTTACTGAACTCAAAGAAGAAAGGCTCTGTCCCATCCATAGACCTGCTTGGTATGTTTTTTTCTTTTTCTAACCTTCGATAATGTATTGCTATCCTTGACCTACTGAAAAATTTAGTTCTCTCCTATGAACCTATGATTTTCATCTGCAAGACTGCATTGCCTTACAAAATTACCTGCTGCCAAAAAGTCTTCGCTACTCACTTCTGTTCATATAATTTTGCCCCTAAGAAGCAAACATGTATATGGACTATCCATACCTCTATCTATGCATATACCTCTCTGCGTCCTTTGAGCTTTGCTTTTGTTTCTTGTGCTTTTAAATATTCTGGCTTAGAGTCTTCATTTTAGCTTCAGTCCTAATCATTTAACATATTAATTTTTCTTTAAGTAAAAGTACGAAGGCGAGATGTTGAGGTCAACAACTTACATTGTGGTGCATAATCATTGATAATAAAATACCGAAAATGTAGTCAAAATGCTTTTCCAGGTATAATGGTGCCAACAGGGATTCTAACAGTAAAATCATAGCTCTTTGGCTGTGCTGGCTTCCTTTAGAAATGAATCAATGGAGCTCACCCTTGCAATTAGTAGTAGCTCTCCTTTTGTGCTTTGATGAATACAAGCTCTTACAAAAATAAAAATACCTCTTCATACTTTTTCCTCAAGGGGAGGGTAGGATGGGCTATCAAGAATTTTACAAAACATCAAACCTCTTTTTCTCAGCTTCAACTTTATGTGGGTTGGTTCCTTTCTGATGAATTCGGTCCATTTAAACTTTCTCGGTCAAACTTGCGCCAAAATTTCCAGACTTTCTCAGGAGTGCGTAACATTCTGGGCTTTCCAAATCACGAGCGGCGACTGGCTTTCCACAAATTTTCCCTTTCTCCACAATTTTCCCCAATTTCAGAAGCAGTATTTTGACACCACTACAAAGATTAAGAATATAGGGTCTCTTGAGGACAGAATACCGTAACCTAGCAAACGGTGCTAAAATGAAGTGGATTAATTCGAAATTGAGCTTACTGCATATGGATAGTTGTGGAGATATTCTGGGTTCTGAACAGATTGTAAGAAATTTATACGACTACGGCTAGATAGATACTTACAGAAAATTTTGTTCCTCTTTGTAACACTCTAGATTCAAGTAATGAAAAGGCAGTTGATGAAATTTGTTGAAATTGACAGCTGTTTACATTCAACTTATGTTCTCCGCAAATTCTTGAAATATATGACACAACTGGCGGAAGCCATAATTCTGAGTGACACAGCTACTTAGAATTGGTAAAGTGCACGGTGACTTTTTAGTCTAGCTCAAAAGTATTTTAACAATTTATGAATTGAGCATATAACTGAGAACAACTGATGATAAGCTAACTGCTTGCTGCGGTGAGATTAGACTAGTTTAGCTTGTTCAAAGCTGATTATCCTGGAACCATCACAGATAAATGATACGTATGAGAAGTGCAGAGGAGAAGTGCTAGAAAGAAGGTTATCGTGTCTACAATGATTACTGGGTATCTGGCACATACTAGTTTTCAAACATTAGAGCACGCACTCGCGAGGTATTACACTACGAACTGCAGATGAAATATGAATGATTAAGATGAGAATGATGGATTCATGTACCTCCATTGAATCAATTGAATAGCTTGTATTGAGAGAGCAAACCAACCATGGTCACACAGAACACTTTCCAGTTTGCTGATCGATACTAACCATCTCTCCGAATGTTAGAATGTGATCCAACTTAACTGCCTCATGATGGACGTATTGTAATGCCCTAGTGCATTAGATAATAACTTCAAAACATCACAAAATTGACAATAAAGCACTCTTTCAGATAGACTGAGAGGACAGATTTGATAGATTGATAACAAAAACATAAACAAAGTTGCCTAATCAACCATTCATCGCGCGCGCTTTTCAGACATTTCGAATATTACCGCGAATATTTAATTTGACGGACTAATAAATAATCTTGTCCACTTACGTATTTCAATTTCTATTTCATTTTCTTGATCGCTGATCGATTTATTTGATCTGTTGAACAGAAAACTTTCTTCCACTTGGAAGCCATTTCTTGTCGGTACCCAGTGAGAGCGCGGACTCCATACGGTATGGACTGTGGGTCCATCCTAGTAGATCGTACTCTCACCACAGACAAGAATAAAATGAGCGTTTATACTTAGGTCGGCATCAAATTTCGTACAGACAGTATGTAGCTCCGACCCATACTTTATGTAGCGTCAGTATATAATTTTTTCTCAGTGTATTTATTTCTTTATTTATACTTCTTTTGTACATTAAAGCCCCATTATTGGGGCTGTGGCACAAGTAGAACAATAGGAATTACAATATACAATAATTTGCAATATAAATTATGATTGCAAAATGTTACATTAAGTGGTGGCTATTGAAAGAATGTTATTAATTAGCTGTCGTTAGAAATTCATCGATATCGTAGAATGCTCTAGCTAAACGGCGATTTCGAAGTAAGTTGAAGAATTAATTTATTTCACCATCGCGGAGTTGTTGTGTTCGATGCTCCAGGGCAGAGCATTCATAATCTGAATAGCCGAATTTGCAATCTTGTTCAGACCTCTGTGAACTTGAATCAGGCCTCACGACCAGTGGGTCGTCATTAGTTACCTGACACTAGTCTGGAAATTTTTGGATGATAATGCAGTAAAACGCGTCAAAACGATTGCTACTTAAACGGACCTATTGAAATTAGTAGCTAATTTGGAGGTCGTGCACTTTTCGTAAATATGAATGGATTTCGATGAGATAAAGTATTCTAAATTCCTGAGGGTATTTAAGAGGACATTTGTGGTCGCAGGAAAAGAAAAATTTATTTTTAAAAGTGGATTCTAAGGGACATCATACAAGAAACTATGCTGAGAATTATTCACTGATTTTTCAACTTCCTTATTATTTTTTATTTCAACTGCTCATTTTCTTGTTTTCGCTTTTGTTTTGGCTACTTTACTTCTTAGCTGCATTTAGTAGTATTACTTACCATTTACTCTTACTTTTCCAGATAAGTTAACGCCGGAGGACTGCGCCAAGAAGTGGCACTCGCTGCGCACGAATTACAGCGCTGAGCAAAAAAAAAATTAGAGAGTCAACTGGGACTGGAACCGGAACGGCAAACGTTTACAAGCCTTCCATGAAGTTTTTCGACGAAATGGCGTTCGTTAAAGACTTCCTGGAAGTCAGGAGATCGGTCGACAACTCGGGAGAAGAAGACATTATCGCTGCGATCATCCAGGAAGAGGAGGTTTGTTTCTAACAACATGCACCTTTTGATATGATCTCCTGCATTGTAATTTAAATTATTACATCCCTCTCATTCTTTGTGGACAAGTTGCAAGTGGCATTGACAATCTATTTTATAAAATTTTAAAGTTTCCTTTTTCGTTATGGAATGTTTTCTTTTTCTTTTTTCCCCCCTCCCGATCACTAGTGAAATGTTACTTGAATTCTTGCAGCAAGAATCAGTTTTGGCTTAACAATCTTACTAATTACTATTCCATCGATGATTGCTGGTTCATACCTCATATTTTCAGTTTTTTTTTAAACTGAAGGTGCAGGTGGACGCACGGGTCATAAGACTGTATGTTGGAATTGTTTAGCCAACGTGCGTTAAAAATTTAGCATAAAGCTGATATTCTTCCTGAATAGTCGTCACTAGTGTAACACCAAACAGCGTATCTCTTGGAGGGAAAATTGTGCTTGTGTGTGAGATTTTTCCCTCTGTATTGAGATATCAAAAATAGAATGATAATAACTGGAAAGAGTCTCAATAGTGCATTGAAAGTTTACACAATTACGAGGGGCGTTCAATAAGTAAGTATCCCCCCTCTCTAAAATCGAAAGGAATGGAACAATTTTAAAAAAACTTGGGCTCAAAATCTTCTTTAGGATATACTGAGTTCAACAAAACAAATCGCAACAAAATCGGACCATGTGCGGCCGAACGCGAGCCGTTTGAACGCGCCGAGGTGCACGCCGCTCCCGCCGAATCCGCGGAGATTTGAAGTCCGCAACAAGAGAAGAGCTTCTCTGCCAACGCTTCAGTCGTTCATCACTGACGAAAAATCAAAGAAGTTTTTGTAGAATAAGGTGCTTACCTCACCTCTCCACATAACCAGCTCGATCCAAGCAGGCCTGAGACTGATTGTGAGACTAAGAGAGCAGCTTTTGGATACCGCGCCTGTAGAAGTCATTCAACTGGCTGGGGATGAAAGTGTTGACGGCTTGTTTCACCTCTTCCACTGATTCAAAATGAATTCCCCCGCGTTCAGATACTAGATACGGTAATAAATGGCAAAAAAGACCACCATTTATTCCCCTTTCTATAATCTGAACTCGGGGGAACTCATTTTGAATCAGTGGAAGAGGTCAAACAAGCCGTC